AGTGAAGTTATTAACAAGTTGGGCAAGAAACAGAAGGGAGTAAATAAACTTAAAATGCACAAGATTTCACTTTGGCCAAAGCACCTTTTCTCTATGTACCAAACATTCATGGAATCTCCGCTACAGTATGACCTGTCCAAAGTGCTGAAGTTGCCCAATGATGACCAGTGGGGATCTCAGATGTCAGGGTTTGAAGCAAATGTCAAAGTTTTAAAACACTAGCAAACGGTGATGTGAAACTGATGAAAGAGTCTCCTTGAAATGTTGGGCTTGATCTTTTCACTTGTCCTGGTGTGCTTAGACATCTCTCTGCTGAGAACAGGAACTGAACCATACAACCGTTCAGATCAAGCCTAGCTTTGGGAAGCCATTATTTCCAAGGTCTTCAATGTACTATTGTAGGCTTTTGATAACTTTTGCCTTTTTACCCCAAGACCACTTTATAAGCTACTGTTTTTGAATGTTTATTGTGTGGCAGTCGCTGGGAAAGCACTGTAACTTATTATCCATTGTACCTAATTCCCACCATTACCAGACATTGTAGTTCCCATTTTACAGATGAGAAGAGCAAGGTAAAGTGGCTTAAGTAATTTACATCATGAGGAAGTAATAGAGGTGGGGTTTGAACCAGAGTGTGTCAGACTCCAAAGCTCTTAGCCATCTTTCCCTACTGTGTTTTACAGATGACTGATTAATTAGACAATAACCCCTTCCCAAATGTAGCTAGAGTGAAGGACATTTCTTGACTAAGTGAAGGGTATTTCTTCCTTTAAGAGATTTATTTATTTATTTGAATGACAGAGTTACAGAGAGAGGGAGAGAGACAGAGTGAGAGAACTTCTAACTGCTGGTTCACTCCCCAAATGGCTTCAAAAGCTGACACTGGGCCAGGCTGAAACCCAGAGACTGTAACCCCATTCAGGTCTTCCACGTGGGTGGCAGGGGCCCGAGTACTTGGGCCATCTTCCACTTCTTTCCCAGGCACAGTAGCAGGGAGCTGGATTGAAAGGAGAGCAACTAGGACTCGAACTACACTCAGGTGGGATGCCAGCATCGCAGGCGGCAGTTTAACGTCTCTGCCCCACAAAGCCAGCAGCACTGGTGCAGGACTTTTCTATCATAAACAAAATGTCCTGCCCTTTGGAGACAGAAACCAAAGGATGTCAAGGCCCCAGCACAGGACAAAGTCCAGCATATTTGCACATTACAGAAATGCTTGCTTGCCGAGCATAATACCCAAAATGAAAGAGGTTTGCTCTTCTGTAGCTCCACCCTTGTTCTGACCCTTGGTCTGAAACCAGTCCCACACCCTGAAGCGAGAGTGTTCAGTAAGTGTTGGAAACACAAATGAGGAAATTTTGTAAGTAAACAATTCATAGATGCTCCTTCCTTCCCTTTTCACCATCCTTTGTAAATGAACACTGCTCTCTGCTTAGCAAGAACACAGAGATCTTCTAATAAAAACAATTAGTGGGGCCAGTGCTGTGGTGTAATGAGAAAACTGCTGCCTGCAGCACCAGCATCCCTTATGGGCACCAGTTAGAGTTCCAGCTGCTCCACTTCTGATCCAGCTCTCTGCTATGGCCTGGGAAAGCGGTAGAAGATGGCCCAAGTGCTTGGGCCCCTGCACCCGCGTGGGAGACCTGGAAGAAGCACCTGGCTCCTGGTTACAGCCATTTGGGGAGTGAACCAGTGGATGGAAGACTTTCTCTCTCTGTCTCCCTCTCTCTCTCTCTCTCTCTCTCTCTCTCTGCCTCTCTGTAACTCTGCCTTTTAAATAAATAAATAAATAAATATTTAAAGAAATTAGCTCCAACTCTTCCTCGTTTGAGAATGAGGTAAGTGTGTCCTCCATGTCCTCATAGATTTGTCTTGAGAACTCAATACACAATATGGTTGTTATGACAAAAGCATATGCTCTCCTTGTATGTTAGGAATGCTAATAGTGCTTTACCTGCATTGATCACTTAACACACACAACAACTATGAGTTATATTTTACTCTTTTCACTCCCACTTTTCAGGTGAGGAAACCAGTGCCTGGAGAAGTTACTCAAATTACCCAAGGTGACCCAGCAGAGTCAAATCCAGAAAGTAGAGACTTCTCAGCCTGTGCTCTCTTCCCCCTAAATTCGGGGTTGGTGAATGGTGGCCCATGAGCCAAAGCCAGTCTATCAATTGGTTTTGTAAATGAACTTCACTGAAAATGTTCACATCTATTGATTTACACAGTAACTACGGCTACTTTCCTAGTTTAACGGCAGGGTTCTGTTGCCGCAGCAGGCATTGCTTGGCCAAGAAAGCCTGCGTGATGTACTCTCTGGCCCTGTGCAAAAACATGGAACAACCCTTAATATTACTGTCTCAGACAGAAAGGGAATCATAAAATTGAGTCCACGATCATGAATGTAACATATGCTGAGTCGTGGAAGCGGGTCTCTTAAGGCCTTCAATAAACTTTATCAAGAACCTCAGAGAAAGGGCAGAGTAAGTCACACTCCTGAAATTTGCTTCACCTAGGATCTATCTTTGCTGGAGCACCTGGTGGAATAATGTCTCCCTTTAACATGTCTCAGGACACGTGACTCTGGGCAGTCCTGGAGCAAGTCAGTCTCCACAGTACTCAAAATCTGAGGGGAAGCAACACACTAAGAGATGCCCCCAGCCCTGCCTTTGTCTGTGGCACAGGGATCACCTACCAAATAACCCCGTATTTTTCTTTCAAAAGACAAGGAAAGGCATGAATCACAAACAAGCACCTTTCCAAACATAACAGTGAGCTTGGTGGATACAATCACTCTGATGATGAAGAAGGAGCCAGATGTTAAGAATGAGGCAAGCCGGCACCGCAGCTCACTAGGCTAATCCGCCTTGCAGCACCGGCACACCGGGTTCTAGTCCCGGTAGGGGTGCCGGATTCTGTCCCAGTTGCCCCTCTTCCAGGCCAGCTCTCTGCTGTGGCCTGGGAGTGCAGTGGAGGATGGCCCAAGTACTTGGGCCCTGCACCCGCATGGGAGACCAGGAGAAGCAGCACCTGGCTCCTGGCTTCAGATCAACACGATGCACCGGCCGCAGTGTGCAGGCCGCAGCGGCCATTGGAGGGTGAACCAACGGCAAAGTAAGACCTTTCTCTCTGTCTTTCTTACTGTCCACTCTGCCTGTCAAAAATAAAAAAATAATAAAAATTAAAAATTAAAAAAAAACATCATTGATTTCATCAACACAGGATTTCTGAAAACCAAAGTGACCTTGACACTCACCATTCCCCCAGTAGCTTGTACTATATGGAGTGCTTTAGAAAATAATCAAGAATGAACAACTTTCATAAGAAGAGTACCATTCCCTCCAGATTCCTCCAAGTGTGAGAAATAGCACTGTCGGCCTGCATAGCTCTGAGCATCATAAAAATGCCGCACTCCTCACACCCTCTGACCACTGCCCACTGCCTCCTGTTCCTGCAGGCATGTGCATTGCTAAGGATGAGGAGCAACAAGAAGAAAAGGAGGGGCCGGCACTGTGGTGTAGCAGGCAAAGCCTCCAGCTGCAGTGTCGGCATCCCATATCCGTGCGGTATGAGTCCCGGCATCTTCACTTCAGATCCACTCCCTGTTGATGCACCTGGGAGGGCAGCAGGGGATGGCCCAAGTACGTGAGCTCCTGTACCCAGGTGGGAGACCCAGAAGAGGCTCCTAGATTTGGCCTGGCCCAGCTCCAGCTGTTGTGGCCATTTGGGGAGTGAGCCAGTGGACAGAAGATCGCTCTGTCTCTCTCTCCTTCTCTCTGTTATCTCTGCCTTCCTAAAGTAAAAAAAAAAAAAAATCTTTTTTAAAAGAGAGAGAGAGAAGGAAGGAGGGAGTGTGGTAGTCTTGAGAAGCAAGGGTGGGGAGACTGATTTTTGCAGGCTTGACTTTGTGGGTGTCATGATTTGCCAAAAACACTTGCAAGTTTGATTGAAGAAAATAATTTCACACAGGAAGATACTCTCCTCGTTGCCTGCAGGCACGACCTCTCCTGTTCCTAGGCTTCCTCAGCAGAAACGTCTGGGTCACAAAGCTCTGCATTTATCCTCTCATTTTATCCTCATCCCAACCTACACAGTAGCTACTCCTATGACTTGTCCTTTATGTCAGGAGCTGGAACTGAGAGAGGGAGTAAGCAAATGTCCAGGGAACAGAGCAGAAGCTTTAAGGGTCAGTCACTGTGTGGAGTGGACTCTGGGAGCGGTCACTGCCCTAAAGAGATTTTGTGTTTCTTTCTGCTGCTATATAAGTTCCTGAGACCCTGTTTGATGAGGACTAAGCAACAGACGGTGACGCCCTTTAGACAAAGTCTCATACAGCTCCTAGCAAGACCACGCCCTCCACCCCCCCTCGCCACCACCAACCCCCTCCTCTCCTGGGAAGCTTTGCAGATTTTTCTGCTAACACACCATAGGAGTCTGACACAACCCAACCTCAGAGCTGAGAGACTTTTTTTTTTGTCTTGTGTTTCAGGAAAAATGAAGAGAAAAGGCAAAAAAAAAAAAAAAAAACAACCAGCCTGGTAATCCTTTTAGCGTTCATTGAAGCGATCGATTCAGAGTTGGTTTGACACCGTTTCCTAAATCGTCAGGCGATAATTTTCCTCCACGGGACAGAATTGTCAGTCAGATGAGAAACCAATGCGACAGCTCCTCCAGAATCTGCAGAAAACCTCCACCAACAAACTGAGGACAGTGTTGCAAAGTAAAATAAAATAATAACTAGCATTTGTTATTGCTCACCATATGTCAAGCTTTCTGCTGAGTGACTATAAATACACAATCGTACTCGATGATCATAGCCCAATGCGGTAGGAATTATTATTATCCTCATTCAGCAGGTAAGGGAGACGAAGCTCAGAAGGATTCAATGATTTGCCCACTTTGTTGATGGCATAGCTAGATTTGACTCGAAGCCTTTGTGAGCTCACAGACGACTAGTAGCACACTGCACTACTAACACAGACTGCTAATCACTCTATACCAAGCTCAGCTTACATTTTCCGTCAAAGACCGGAGAGTTCACGTGTTTATCATCACGGGGCATCTGTGACCACTCCGCAGCTGGGGCACGAATCTGCCCAGCCCTGCTGTTGTAGCACAAAAGCAGCCATAGACAAAAGCTGAACAGACAGACATGGCTGCGTGACAAGGAAACTTCATTTACAAAAACAGCAACTAATGAGGGTTAGGCCCAAGGCCACAGCGTGCCAACCTTGTTCCTTCAGAGTGGGAAGAGCTGAGCTGAATCTGTGAAGGACACAGAAGGTTTAAACAGGTTGAAGAGAGGAAGGAGAGAAAAGTGGGGAAAAGAACAGAAGTAGCAGTCGGGCCAGGGCATGCACCTGCCATGGTAGCCTCACCTGGAAAAGGGATTCCCTCCTCTCTGCTTGTCCAGCCCGCTCTCCACTACGAATTTACCACTCTGGTAAAAGCTACATCCTCTCTAAATGAGATCCTGGTTTCTTCCCGGGCCTCTCTTCTGGCCTATACGTGGTTCTCACCGGTTTCTAACTAGTCCGTGTCCAGGCTGGGATGGCCCACTGAAAGCAAGGATTCAAGGCCCTGAGCTCAGCAGGCAGGAGCACAGGGAGCTTAGCAAAGCCCTAGAAAGGTGTCCAGGAAGCTTCTGGGCTTCTGTACGCCCCCTACTGCTCTCACTCTCTTTTTTAAACCAGCAGCCCGGCTGCTTTTTATCTTGAGTGCCAAAATGCATCTGGAATGAGGCATAATCCTCCCACTTCCAGCAGCTTCACTCAGTGTAATGTCACAGGTAAATGTATCAGACCCAGTAGATGTTCTACTTATGGTAATTGCTCTGAAATGTTACCAACGCTTCTCAAAATATAGGTGTCGTCTCGGAGCATGTGATGAGAGAGTGAGCTGCGCCTCTTCTCCCTCTCTTCATCCTGGACTCTCTCACATAACAAAATCCCTCCAGCAGGTAACGAGTGCCTGTTTTCTCAGTTTATTCAAGTGAAAGCGTCTCAGCGTCTCAGGGTTCAGGCCTCCCTGTCTGATCTCACTGATGCAACCCATGTAATATTTATCATTGCCTGTATTAATGGGCAATATGGGTTTCCCCCAAAGCCTCTGAAAAGTACCCTGTCTGTCATATTCACGTCTGGCTGCTTGGTTTCTGACAGAGACAGATTGGAGAGTGGGCGGTGATTCAGTGTGGAGTACTCCCTTCCTGTCTGAAGGTGATGAGTATATTTCAACCTCAACCGATTCCGTAATAAGAAATCACGTTGCTGATTTTCCAATATCTACCTCCTGGACAAGTAATAAAGCCCACCCATGGGTTGGTCTGTCGTTCCTCCTCCGTCAAAGTCCCCTCCTCCCTCACCCAGCGAGGGATGGAATGACACCAGCTACAGAATGGGGGGAAAGCTGTCCACTCTGGGAGGTCTGACAACCTCAGGGAACTCGCCTCCCAGTGAGCAGGACAGGTGGTATAGTCGCCAGGATTTGGGGCTTGCTTCTAGGGCACTTCACTCACTCCACAGCTTTTATGAGACCTGTTCTACCCACCAGTTAGAGAGCTGAGGATACAACAATGTGCAGAGGAGATGACAGCCCATGCCTTTGGGAAACAATAAATCTACTCAGGAAAAAAAATGTGGATTACCCAAACTGCACAAATATGTGTAAGAATCCCAACTATGATCAGTGACCTGGTGGGGTACATGGTCCTGTGAGCATGATGACAGCACAAAGCAGACCCAGCCAGAGAGTTTTCCGAGAGGCTTGGGACTCCCAGGGCTGCTTCAGCTCATTCAGAGTTTGCTGAAAAGTTGCTTGCTCGGAGAGGACCTCTGGGACCCCTGAAGTCGCCCTGCCTCACCCCACCCCTCCTTACTTCCTGCCACTCACTCTGCACCCCTTGCCTGAATTACCTTCCATGCCTATTTGCCCCCCTTTCCAAGAACCATAAGGTCCAAGAGAGAAAGAACTTTGTCACGCTTTTGTTCTAAAACAGTGCTTAGCACATAGTAGGCACTCAGCAGGTATGTGTTGCATGAATGCCTGATTGTGCTGCTTTCTAAATGTCCTCTTAGGTGGTAGTCAGAGGGAGTGCAAGAGGACTGGGACCCTAGATGGGGGGAACATTTGGCAGTGGGTGGGCGTCACGGCCCCACAGGAGATAGCTGGAGCAGAAGGGTGGATGTGGTGGGCACGTGAGGAATGCTGGGCTGACAGGGAGCTAGTCAGATTCTCCTGGGAAGAGACCACTAAGGTGGCAGACCAGAGTGCACCAGGATGGACCAGATGGGCACAGCTGCCCATTGGAAAGCCACTGCAGAGTGGAAGGAGAGGCCAGCCTGGCCTACAGGATACAAACCAAGAGGTTCAAGGTCTGTTTGGGAGGTAAAGCCCACAAGTCAAGGTGCAGGTTGTTTATGGACACTCTGAGAATGCCTCCCAGGTTGCAGTCTTAGAACTGCCAGAGGCACCGTGGCCCCCACTTTCCTGTGGCCTCAGCTCCCTGTGGCAAATGAGAAGCTGAGATGCTTGGAAATCCTGGCTTACATTTGGTGCACTAATCCCAAACACACAGCCTTACCAAGAGGTATTTTGGTTCCATCCCATCCACCTCTTTTCATTGCTACTTTTCCACCAAATCTTAGGTCTCCTGGAATTCTCGAGTTTTTACTTTCCACCAAAATTACAATTCTCTTGCTTTTTCCAGGACTGATCTAAAACAAAAGCAGCAAAACACTGGGGGAGGGGCTATTCCTCACCCACCCAGAGAGAGTGGTGCTGCCTGTAATGGAGTCTCACCCCCAGGACCCACCATGAGACTACAATTTCATTCATATTTTATGTTCTATCGGCAACCTAGCCAGTAAATGTAATCCATCTTTGAAACCCACTGAGAGCCCACACAATATCAAATATACAGGGCTTTGTACAATTTTGAAATACAGGTGTGTCTGGCTGGAAGTAAAATTTCCAGGAAAAAAAAATCTTTGTTAGTTATCCAGCCCAGCATGAGGGGAGAACATCAGTGTGTGTGTGTGTGTGTGTGTGTGTGTGTTCAAAGAAGAAACCAAGCACAGACAAAGTGGAGAAGGCACCTGCTCTCCACCACACACATACAACATTTGAATCTAAACTGGAGGGAGCTCGAACCCTCCCTGGGCTGCCATCACCACTTGTGAATGTGTGTTAATGACAGAGCATTGCACTTCTCCTCCATGCACATAAGCAAAGCTGAGAGCTGTTAATAGGTTGGAAATGACATATGGATTGCTCAAGACAGATCTAGGACTGTTTTGGATACAGAGGTCAGGGGAAAGAGAACCTGGAGCACAGAACCTGTCCAGATCGTCCCTGGTGGGGACACAACACTAGGCACCAATATTCTATTCCAGACCAAGGCCAGGGGATGGACAAGGCACTAATGGGATCTCTGCTCAGCTTCAAGAGGTCTCTATCATGAGACTATAGCTGGAGACCAGCTCCCTCTGAGCTGTTCTCTGTCGGCAGGTGCTGGACCCAGCTGGAAAGGAAATCCCGAACTCAGCTCCAGCCATCAATCTGAACCATTTAGCCAGCCCCGCTCTGTGCACAGGTACCTGTGCGTCCAGTGATTTTGCAGGTGGCTTGCCACTTCCAGACTCTGAGAGGGCCTCACTGAACCGTGAATCAGCCTGCGGGCATCCACAGATTAAAGAACGTTGCTCTGTCTCTGACTGCAGATCTGGGTTGGTTCTCGGCTCTGCTGGCTACTGTGTGATATCAGGCAAGACACCTAACCTCTCCAGGCGTCAGTGTTTCCATCTGCAGAATGGGATTAAAAGACACTCCCTCCCCACCACAGTTCTGCAGTGTTGGCATGGATTAAATGTGAGACTCCAAGTGAAGTGGTAAGCAGAGCACGAAGCTCACACTTTACCTGACACTGGTGTAGTGCATGTTATGTTACAGGTGTTTTCCTAAGATCTCGACAAACAATCTGTTTAATCTTCATGCTATTATTTTCTCTTTTAGAGATCAGGAAACTGAGGCACAGAGACAGTAAGAGATCTGGCCACTGTAATAGCTGCTGGAGCTGCAACTCACACTCAATTCTGGGTGCAGAATCCATCACCTAACCACTGTATATAGTCAGCAGTCCAGAAAGTTTCTTTATTCTGATTATTTTAATCCTACCCTGCAACCAAAAGGCTTTGACACCACCCCGTAGCCACTGCTACTGCTGAAGCTGGAAGGAAGGGCTTCCCAGGTGGCCCGTTCCTTGCCTGACAGACTCAGAAATCCAGATACCCCAGAACTACTGACAACTGAGGCTGATAATTCTCTACTGTGGAGGTGTCCTGTGGATTATAGCATCCCTGGCCTCCACCCGCTGGGGGGGCACACACACATCAAGAGTGACAACCAAAATGTGTCTGCAGACATTGGCAAAGGTCCCCAGGAGATACAGCTGCCCCCCCCCCACTTGAGAACCACTGCACGAGCCCAGCTTCAGGCACAGCGTGGCTATCTTGGGGCAGCAGAAGAGGGCCTGGGCCCTCAGTGCCCATATCAGAGGCAGGTGCCTAGGATTGTTCTCTGCACCCAACACCAAAAAAAGAATCCCCTCAAATTAAACCAAGTACCATCAGAGTACTGGATGATGCAAAGATGGGAATGCACAAATGGCATGCACCCCTCTGTTTCAGTCAGCTTTTCACCACCTGATTTATAATACCCGAGAGGATCTCCTATTTTGGCTAAGGCTTTGGAGGTTCACAGTTCAAGATTGGATGGCCCCAATAGTCCGGCAGCTGCCAGGAGCGAGGGAACCTGTGCAGGAACAATCCTGCAGCAAGCCAGGAGGCAGAGGGAGAAGTTCAGTTGAACTCGGCATACACAGCCAGTCCTCCAATAACAGGGCAGACCCCAGGGACCTAAGGACCTCACACCAGCACCCCCCTCCCCTGCCAGACACCATAATTAGATCATGTCTCCACCCTCAATCCATCAACCATTGACAGAAGGCTTTGGGGTTTGAATGCGTCTGTGAGTTCAGGGAACCAATTGCTGTTCAACCCTAACAACCTCCTTAAGTTCACACAGCAACAGTGTGGGCTTTCAGTCACTGCCAGCCAGACAGGAGACACGATGAGGCGGGCACAGGGCTGCTCCTGGAGCCTTCAAATCTTCCAATCGGCTGTCACCGGCTCCCCCACAGGCCGGTCTCAAGCCACCCATCAGCTAAGCTAATCAAGTGCAGAGAGAAATGGCGAGAGACTCATCAAGAGACTTTCCAGGCTGAGTTTCCCTACTGGGGACTTCCCTGGGGTGCTTCACAGGACTTGGGTGGGATGGGACCACAGTTCTCTATCTACCAAGGGAACAGATCTGCCTCCCCCCCTCACCCCTTCCCCTCATTCCAGTCACTCCATCCCTGCACCAACTGACTGCTCCAAGTTCAGGATCATATGATTTGTGGTGGCAAATCCACCTCTTCCACATGTTCTCTGTTCCCACTGGCCACAGCTGAAGAAGCAAACTTAACCACAAACCTCCCATCTGTGAAGCCCTTCCAAACTCTCAAAGTCCCAAGATCACCCAAGAATAAGAGGAGTACGAAGGCGGAAAAACAATCACAAATACTAAATAAGTAAATGTCCATAGAACTTGAATGACCTCTAAATGTTGTGTCTGAATTTTAAGTCTGTTCTCCATTCGCAATGCCTTCTCAGTATACAATTACATTTAAATAGATAATCCTCTGTAGAACAGTTCTTATGTAAACAGCCAGTAATTTTGATGTATTAGAATTAAAAGAAATTTCCTAAGGCCAAATTCTGCCATATTTTAAGAAATGTGCCTTGGTTATTCCAGGAATAATTTTGCTTCAGGGACCCAATTAAAGTTATCAAAACTGTAGTTTCTTCTGGATGCTAAAGATGCAATATATTTCACACATGCTTCTACAGGTTATTATTTTCAGGGATTGCATTTTACAGATTTAAAAAAAAAATCTTCAACCGAGGGGAAGAGTTTCAGAAGATCACATCATTCTAAGCTGCAAACAAGAAGCACGAAGCTCTGCAATCATGAAGCCTGCAGTGAGAGAGCGCGGGCTGCTCAGACAGTCGAAATCGGTTTGCTGGCTGGGATTTTCAATGCTTTTAAGTTTAAGATGCGCTAAGCACAGTTCAGGCGAGGCATAATCAAGAAATGGTTGTTTGTTTCGGCTGCTGCAAAATTACGGGGTGTCCCATGTGGGCTGGCATCTTGTGCATTTGTACATACAGCAATTACCCTGCGAGATTCCTGACGCTCCCTGCTTTCCCTGGGAAGAAAGGGAAAGAATGACAGGGACAGCTGACA